CACGGAAAAAAATAACTTGTGTATACAGCCAGAATATTGCTGCTGTAACCAGAATATTTGGTTGCGCTCGTGACAACAAAACGTTCAGTTACCTTTACAATGTATTTTATGTAAACTGGTTTTGATAGTGGTAACAGAACCTTTTATAATTGGTAAGTAATTAAGTTTGATAAAAGTTACCAAACATTCTGGAACTATAACAGCAATCGTTTGTTGATTTTAACAGATTGTTAGGTAATCCACACACTGCTCTTTGGTAAAAGATATTCTAATTAATAGCAATTTTTGCAATAGTGTTTACAATCATTGCAATAATATACTGATAAATTCAATATATAATTTGGTTAGAACAACCAGTATTATACTATAACCTCTACAATGTATTATGCTACAGTTACATTCTTCATTGTACTCAGACTACATATCGTTTTGTAATAATTACAATTGTATTATACATGGGTACTGTAGTTGATTTATTATTACCATTTTTTAATTTAAACTGGGTTTATGTGGCCAGGAAAAATGGTAGGATTAATAAGTAAAATAAAACACAAAAATACATATATATGATTTAAAGATTTTTTATTAGTCGTGTAGTTTATTAGTTTACAATATAGGTATAATATAAAAAGTTTAAAAGTTAAATATTTAAATATATAACATTATTAAGTATTACAAATATAAATGGGTATTATATAGATAATATTCATTTTTATAAGTATAATATAAACAGAATAATAGTTAAATACTAAATTATATACCCATTATTAAGCTTAAAAAATATAAATAATCAATTATTAGTTACAAATAATGTATATATATTTTATTTAAATACAACTCTAACTGTAGTTTAATTGATTATTATTTTATTGAATTATTATTATTTTATATAATACAAATTATTGAATTATTAATAAAAAATTTAAATAATGAAAGAATTCATGGCTATTATAATTAATATAAATTATAAGTACATAATAACTTAAGAAATAGTTCCTGTTTTAAATAGAAATAATTAATTTAAACACATTAGCTATCTAATTATTAAATACTACTTCTTAATGTCACATATGAAGATCAATTTGACATTATACTGATATTATTGGGAATGTGGGAATATAACATATGATGATAGACAAACTTTATTTAATTTTTATGTTTTACTTCATAGGAAAAAAAATGTTCATCAAAAATAACTGTACTCAGTAGACAACACTGAAACACAATTACTCTATTATTACAAAGATAAATAGCATCTATGACACCAAACTTGGGGAGACTATTCTCATTAATGTCTAGAGTAAGGATCATTTTATGTTTATACTTTGTGCCTTTGATAGAAATCCATGAACAACAAACTAAGGAATCAAATGAGTCAATTTCCAGAAAGTTTTTAATGTTTTTAACATCACTGTCACATATTAGTTTATTAGAAGGACTAGATTCTATGTCATTACTTAATGTGCCTTTAAGGAACATGTTATTCAATTGTAGTTGATGTTTAATAGCTAGACTCATGCAAATATTGCGCCTATTGCTGGTAGTATTGGCTACTGTTTTAAAGATTCTATGCTTCGCTTCAAATCTCATACTCCATAAATGAACTAGAGGGCCTAACTGTTCAATGATAGTATGGTAATGTTGCATAAAATGATATTTTGGCTTTAAATCAAGTTTACTATATTTTATATACAAGTTATTATGTTCTGAAACAAGAGTTTTAAGTAGTACACAACAATCTTTTTGTATCGATGTAGACAAAACTATATCAACAATGTGTCTCAGAGAAATATACAGGCACCAAATAGGATCATTTCGAGGTACAAAATCACCAATAATCAAACCAAAATAACGAATTAAAGTCAGCATTTCAGATGCAGAAAGTCTTATAGAGTGTTTTCGAATATAGTCTATATTTAGAACAGATGGTTTACTACCTTTATCAGGGCCAAAGTCAAAACATACTAATCTCTCATTCAGAACTTGTAAAGAAAAAAGTTTCAAGTCTTCAACATAGTAAAGTATTAAAAACGCCAAGTCATATTTCCCTACCCCTTCTAATATATCATGCATGACATCCATTCCAACTTGATCTAATACATTAAAACCTTGCACATTATTCCAAACACAACCTTCTTTAATTCCACTATCTGAAACATTTCCCTCAATTACATCAAAGTAATATTGCTCTACAGTTCTCAACATTGTTTTATCAACATAACACTGTTTTTTTATTTCATCTTTTCTCATTTTACATACTCGACATGGGTAATTTGAAGAAAAACTTTCAACAAATCCAGTAATACTATGTATTCCAAGATTATCACCAACAAGAACACCTAACTCAAATTTTAAGATTCCTTTGAAAACATCAGTATTGACGTAAATACCAGTTTCTCTTAAATAATTTATTTCATCAATAAGTGGTTTGAAAATTATATTATTTCCAAACTTAACCCTGTCTGATGAGTGAAATAATAAAGCTAGGAATATAGTATTCAAAGAAGACTGGCGATGAGGAGGTATGCAGGGAATTGAAATGTATGCAGCTCCAAGTTTATGAATACCTGAATGACTACCTAATGGATTTCCAATTTCGTAATCATCGAAAAATAAAAAAAAAGGAAGTACTGTATGAGAACCATGTTCTTCTTTTTTTTTCTTCCATACACTACCTTGCACAAAATTAATTAAAATAGAATTTTGAATATCACATTTATTTATGTACTCTAAAGTATCAGATAACACATCTTTTAATTGAAAAAAATTCTTTAAAACATGTCTTAATGGAATAAACTGTTCTGTGCAATTAATGGGAACCAAAGAATAGGAATTATTTTTTCTATTTTCATTTAATCGTTCACCTATTACATGTTCAAGAGGAGAAATGTATGTGCCAAGTTCAGTAAAATATTTAATACGTTTATATTCTGTGCCTAGATTCACAAATGGGCAGTCAAGTAAATCGAGAATATTGTTAAAATAATCAAAAGATTCATCAGAGATTTTTTTCTTCTAAAAGTAATTTGTTAGTATCATTTTTTAAATTGTGTTTTATACTATTAAATATATTTTTCATATCTTCAACAATTTTTTGAACAACATTTCGAGGTACTTGTGGGTTTGCATATAAAGAGGATATACATTTTTCTACAGTGTTGTTTTCAGTTACACTACTATTGATATTTATACCTGATAAAGATGAAGATGTTACTAAACTACCTATTATAGGAAGTGTGTCGGTATTGCATTGCTCTAATGGTAAACTATTTGTAATGGTGTTGGTTGAATCATTTTGCTGAATTGGAGTAGAAGTTTCAATTGGTACATGAGTGGCTAAATGTTTTTTGAAGGAATTTAATAAATGAAACGATCTGTTGCAGTTATCTTCTATACAATTATATGAAAAAAAATTATGACTTGTGTGTTTGATTTGAAAATGTTTACATAGCATTGATATGCTTAGGAGATTTAAGTTGCATAAAAAACAATTAGGCATATTTGAAAAATATTAAATAGAAGTGTAGTTTAGTTAACTTATATTTTTTATTGATGTATGAATATTGTTATATTATTACATTTACTTATACATATTAAAATAAAATGTTAACATTTAAGAAATTTCATTTATATCTAGATCACTGAGAAGAGAATTTACTGATACATATTCCGTATCCCAAGATGTTTTTATTTTATAGAATCCTTTTTGGATAAAAGTCCATATTGGTAAACATTCTATAGAATACTGAAGATTTAAAGCGTGTATAACCTCAAAACAACAATCAACTGCATAAACAATTGAGTTTAAAACATAGTATGTTTCATCAACAAAAACAAAATATTGTGAAATTGAATTGATATCAGGTCCTACTATTATCACCAGTGGCTGCAAAGTGATCCCCAAACGAGCATACTTTTCTTTACGTCTTGTAATAGTCTCCTTAACTTCAGAATGCGACCTTAAATGAGTGATAAAACTATCCCTGACTTCAACTTTTGAAGGTCTACATGCAGATTGTCCCTTTTTCCTCTTGGTTGTTATTGGGAAAAAGAGAAATGGAAGAATGAGGAAGGCTGCCAATGATGAAGTTTCTTCACTTTCTAAAAAACAAATTAATAAGTGAATTACCAAAATGGTTTTTTAATTGGTATTTAAAATTAAGATTACCTGATTTAAGATCTAGATATTCATTTAAAATACACTTTAATGTAGAATCTTTAAGATTATCGGATATTTTTTTCCCCAAGTTCAGTATTTTTTCTTTATATACAGGAAAATGTTCT